GGGTTCCCCACACACACACACACACCTCGACGAGGAATCTTTTGAACGTGCAATCTGGATCGCCTAGGGCGAGTCTCGGCTGTCATCTGAAGGCTGCGCGCTTGCAAGCGCAGCAAAATGTTAATTGGCATGGGGTATCCATAGCACGGTGTAGCTCATCCATACTATGGGGTACGGCTTCTCTTCCTCTTCCTCGTAGTGGAAGTCGTGCTGGAAGTAGTCGCCGCTGGCGTAGCAGTTGCCTCAGCGTCCTGTCTGTGTTGAGGTTGTTCACGATCTTGTTGCTGCTGCAAGGCTCTGTTACGGTCTTTTCGCTCTCTTTCAAGCAGCCAAGCTCTTGTCACAGGAAACCAGACTCTCTGCCATTGGTTGTTCACTTACTTTGCTCCAATAGTACCTCCATGACGTGGGGTCCTCGATGTAGTCGTCCTCCCTGGTGCTGTCCATGCCGTCCGTGCTGGCTGTACGTATGAGAGCTGAGTGGCTGCGTGAATCTGACTCGGGTGGGTTGGGCCTCGTTTACGAAGTAGTCGCAGAAAGGGAAAGAAAGAAAGGAAAAGAAAAGAAGCCAGCAAGCTGCGCTCAGAGGCATGTTGTTTTGCAACTGCGTGGTACACGGTCTTGTGGGCTTATTGGTATTCGCCAACTCTCAGGGACAAAATGTCTGCCTGGGATGCCTGCACACATGTCCATCGCTGAAGATCTTCGTGATAAAGTATATCTCTCACCGGCAGTGGGCAGTAGGGGCTATCCATGGCGAGTCTCGGTCTCATACGCTGAAGAGACTCGCTTCTGTGGGAAGAGCAGAAAAGGCCATGTGTTAGGCGTCTGTCCATGGTGGCCACCCGAGTTGTACACCTCACTTGGAGACTCGTGAGCAGCAGGCTGTAAACGATGTCCGGCGAGACCACCTTCTCGATGAGAGTGTGACGGGGTCGATAGTCGCGAATCACCGTCGTGTGTTGAGCCTGTGGATGTTGCTGCACGAGAGCATCAATGGCGCTTTGCACTGCTTGATTGTTGTGCCTGGCGAGGCTGACGGCCACCATCCTGACTCGGATCTCCGTGTGGAATTTGAGGATGGCTTTTAAGAGGGTGGCATTGGACAATACTTGTTGCGCAGCATAAGTGTCGCCCTCATCGGAGTAGTCGAACGAACTGGACGATGACGGCGGGGTTGTGGGTGCCGCGGCATCCATGGTTTCTAGTACTGCTATGCTAGCACATGGCTATGGTGGCAAACAAGACAAGAAAACCAGGTGGCTGAAGGAGCAACGCTCAAGCCTAGATTGGACGCATCTTGTTTTTCGCCAAGCATCATCTTGTTTAGGGTAGGCGCAGAAGCTCACGCACCTGAAGGTCCATGTACTGCTGGTAAGAAAGCTCATGGTGATACCAAGTGTGCATGCGCTTGTTGAACAAGTACATCTTGATGTCGATCGGTGTCTCCGCGTGGTTGCCATCAACGGCCCGGCCAGCGCGCTTGTGCCGGGGGGCGTTGGACTGGATCTTGCACTCTGTGCTGGTTGACGTGAGGATGGTTTGCGCGAGGTGCACGAGCATGCGGAGGTCATGCGTTACTTCTAAGAGGGAATAAGCGGTGATCTCGGTGTGCTGGATGGCCATGTCGCATGCCAAGCTGTGTGCGTCTGCGAGGGCCATCGACTTGACTCTGATGGAGTGATTATATTCGTCATTCGTGACGTCCTGACGATGACATTGGTCTGGACGTCTGATCCGACATGACCACACATGGACTTGTTGCCCCATCTGTAGAACTTCCTTCAAAGGTAGATGATGCAGCTGCAAAGTTTCCGGGAGATCTTCACGCGGGTTGAGTCGGCGGCGACGGGAAGCTCGCTGCTCCATCCATCTATATAAGTCCATGTGGAGGTACTCGGGGGGAAGTAGCAAGGTTTTCTACCGCTTGAGGCTGAGCGATGAAGCGACCGGGTACGGCTGGCATATGCTGCTCTGACATGTTTTAGCTGGGGTTCGCTGCGTTCGGCTGTCGCAAATGGGTTGATGCACATGTTGCAAGAAAAGAAAAGAATTACGAATTACAAATTAAACCCAAGACTCACAAGGTGATCGATGTCGGAAAGCTCAAGTCGGTTTGTTCGGAGTGGTGTGTACGCGGACAGGACCAGTCTGTCGTCCTTCCACGGGCACGTTGCGTGCTTGGTGAGGGGGTCAAACTCCAAACCTGGCAAGCGAAGGGGATGATTGCGTCCTTGATGCTGTCCTTTCGGAGAAAGGTCCGGTCCGTGTTCTTCTAGGAGCCAAAGTTCCCCGCGACGGAATGGCGATAGCGGCACGAGCACGTTGGTGGAGCCTGGTTGGTTGTACTTGTCCACGTGGGCAGCCATGTTCACGTTGTGCAGCAGCGAGACGGTGGAGAAGTTGGTGTGCGTGCATGCTCGAACCATGTGAGCAAGAAGAGCCGATGTCCAGGGGTACTTCCTGGTGTTGCTCCGAATTCCAACTGACCCGGCGTGGCAGTAGGCGCCGGAAGAAAAGACCATAGTTGGTGCGCCGCGACGTGTGAGTGCGGAGGCGCGAAGGAGCTCTGACGGCAACTTCTGCATTAGCCATAGAAACACCGACATAGGAATATATCCGTTGTTGAGATGCCGCTGACATACCTGTTCAACTTCCAGTTGGCTGCTCACAGGTAAGCATGGTGGCGGATCGTCCAGTGGTAGTCCATGTGGTAGTCGAACCAGCTGTAGGTCCACGTCTGAGTCTGAGTCCACATCTGTTAGCTCGACGTCATCTTGTGGCTTCTTGCCAGTACGTTTGCGTGGCATGGCTTAGACTTAGATTTGGGACCAAAAAAGCTGAGGTCAGGGCTCAAACCAGACAAAACGGACAAAAGCGACGCACTGCATCCAAGTAAAACTTTCAAGCATGTTTTACTTAGATGACGCCGTATTTTGCTGCATGCCTTAGGCAAGGTCTCGAAAGCCGAGGCTGAGGTAGAGGTCGTCCAGCGCTTGCAGCTGCTGTTGTGCTAAGGATTGCGGGAACACCCTGCTTTCGATCATGTGTCTTCGACTGTGGTAGCCGCTGAGGCGAAGTTTTCGGGAGCCTGCTGATTGAGGTAGCCGGTAGCGCCAATGTTGAGGATGAAGAATATAGCTGACCTGTCTGTTGTTGGCGTTGATACGAAAGCCCAGAAAATCATCACAGTTTTCATCCTCCAGTTGCACAGGCTTTTTGTAGAATTGTAGTGACGCTAGTTGCCAGATGTGGGGGTTGCTGTGGAGGACTGCTTTGTCGACGATGATCGCCCGGTTGTCGACGTACCTGCGTATCCAAAGTTGATCAGCGAGATGCGCGCTTGCGACGTGTTGCCCGTAGAGACGGAGCCACGTGATCTCCGTCGAGACGATGGCACACGTCGACAGAATGGGGCTGATCTGATTGCCCATGGAGGTAACGCAGGTTTGTCGGAATACTTCCCCAATGGCTGTGAAGGCGCAGGCGTCGAAGCTGAACTGTATGATATCGACGATATGCTGCGCGTTG